CCCTGTGCACATGGCAAATAAATCCTTTATTAATCTGCCTTAAGTGTAAGTTGAACCCTCAGCAAACTTCTGGGGGATCTAACTTTCCCCTCACCCTACTATATCATATGGTACTCTTTCTGTTTAGTCTGAATATGTTCACACACTCTTATGTTGTACATGCTAAAATATTTCTGGAAGTACACAAAGATAACCAAAAAACTGGTAACAAGTTTGGTGCCTGTAGCTCAATGGCTAGGGCACCAGCCACATACACCAGAGTTGGTGGGTTTGAACCTGGCCCAGGCCTGCCAAACAATGACAACTACAACAACAACAACAACAAATAGCCAGGTGTTGTGGCAGGCACCTGTAATCCCACCTACTTGGGAGGCTGAGGCAAGAGAATCATTTAAGCCCAAGAGTTGGAGGTTGCTGCGAGCTTCAATGTCACAGCACTCTACTCAGGGTAGGTGACACAGTGAGACTCTGTCTCAAAAACAACAACAACAACAACAACAAAACTGGTAACAGTGACTGTCAGTCAATAGAAAAGCGAACTAGATGGCTAGAGAAGGGCACTGAAGGAAGATTATTCACTGAATACCTTTTAAATACATTTTGATTTGTAAATAGCACAAATGCTTTATCTACTTAAAATCAACAAACTGCATGGGGGGTGCTAGGCATGGTGGCTCACCCCTATAATCCTAGCACTCTGAGAGGCCAACACAAGAGGATTACTTGAGGTCAGGAGGAGAACAGCTAGAGCAAGAAAGAGGCCCCATCTCTATCAAAAACAGAAAAATTAACTGGGTGTGGTGGTAGGCACCTGTAGTTCCAGCTACTTGGGAGGCTGAGGCAGGAGGATTGCTCGAGCCCAGGAGTTTGAGGTAAGCTAGACTAAGTCTATGACACTCTAATCAGGGTAACAGAACAAAGACCCTATCTCAAAAATAAATAAATAAAATATAAATGCCTGTTTTCCTACATTCTTTCTAACCCTGCATGTTTCTGTCCATTTGGATTTTTGCCAATGTAATGGGCAGAAAACAGTATTTTATGCCTTGTTTTAAGGTGCATTTACATGATTAGTGAGTTTGGGCATACTTTTTGCTTATTATCCATCTGAATTTCTTTTCCTAAAAGGCAGAATGAATATAATAAATTCCGGAGCTGGTTTTGTGATTTCTGAGTGACCATTAAATTGTTGAGATTTTGTGTCTCTATTTTCCCATTTGTAAAACTGTGATAAACGCACCTACTAAAAGTTGTTCCGAGGACCAGATAATTATCTGAAGAACACATAGCACAGTACTTATCCATTTTCCTTGCCTATTTTTCTTTTAGGTTGCCTTTCATTTATCAATTTACAGGGGTTCTTTTAATAACAGGAATATTAGGCATAATTACCCTATGCATTGTACTTATACTTCTTTCTTTTTAAATGACTTTTGCCATGTAATTTTCTTTTTTCTTGTGAGTCTTACTACGTCAACCTCAGTAGAGCGCTGTCACATCACAGCTCACAGCAACCTCAAACTCTTGGGCTTAAGTGATTCTCTTGCCTCAGTCATTATTGTTTAGCAGGCCCAGGCCAGGTTCCAACTCACCAGCCCTGATGCATATGGCTGGCACCCTAACCACTGTGCAACAGGCACCAAGCCTCTCCTAAATTTTCTCTAAATATTTTTGTTTTTATATTTAAATCTATCTATCTGGAATTTTTTCTTTCTTTCTTTTCTTTTTTTTTTTTTTTGAGACAGAGTCTCACTTTGTCACCCTGGATAGAGTGCCATAGCATCACAGCTCACAGCAACCTCCAATTCCTAGGCTTAGGTGATTCTCTTGCCTCAGCCTCCTGAGTAGCTGAGACTACAGGCGCCTGCCACAATGCCTGGCTATTTTTTTGTTGCAGTTTGGCCGGGCCAGGTTCAGACCTACCACCCTCAGTATATGGGGCTGGTGCCCTACCTACTGAGCCACAGATGCCACCCCACATTGAGATTCTAATTGTGTTAAATTATTAATTTTGGATAGAGTGACATTTTTCTGATATTAAGTCCTCCCATCCAAGAACACATGCTTTTGGGGGGAGTTATGTTTTGTCTTTTAATAAAATTTCAGAATGTTGTTCCTCTAGATCCTGTTCCTTCCTTCCTAGGTATTTTGTACTTTTAGTCACTGTTGTGTATAAGAGTATTTTTGTTTTTGTTTTTTGAGACAGAGTCTCACTTTATCACCCTTGGTAGAGTGCTGTGGCATCATAGCTCACAGCAACCTCCAACTCTTGGACTCAAGTGATCCCCTTGCCTCAGCCTCCCAGGTAGCTGGGACTATAGGTGCCCACCACAATGCCCAGCTATTGTTTTATTT